TATCCGGCTAGGTACACCGGTAGAATGGCACCCAGGCATTTTCCAAACGACCACAGCACACTCACTGCGCGTTCAGCGGGGGGCTGGCTCGGTAAGGCCGGGGCTGTGACCGGTGTGCCTCTGCTAATGCCCGGTTCTGCATCCGCGGCGGGCATCGCAAGATCCGTTTAACTTCACTAGCTCGACCTAGCCTTCAGCTTCTCTGCTTCTGCGACTGAGTGGCAAAGCGCCACTGAAGACCTTAGCACCGTTTTATTATAGAAACCATCGAGAAAATCAACGACAAACTGCGAGCTTCGGTCGGTCAGATCATGATCACGGCTCCTCTCTGCTGCGCTCTCGCTCAGTTCCGCAGGGCACCAAAATGGGCTATTCCGCGTTTCATTTACGTGCAACGCTTATGCCACAGAGCAGTGCAAGCAGAGACCAAGACCTGCGAGGGCGGGCTCAGCTTCAAACCCTCCTTCAAAGAAATCCAGTAGAAAGAAACCTAAACCCTAGAATTAACTTTGTGGTGGCGTCACGCACTGGCTCGGGCGGAGCGTAATGCGGCCTGTGTGCAAAGTGAACGACTGTTTGCTTAAGACACCAGAGGACACGTTTATTTGGAAAAAATCATCAGCACCATGTAAAGTAAAGGAACCTCTACGCAAAAACAAACTGTTTGTGTGCACAGGCTGCTCAACCCGTTATCTTTTTCTTACATAACCGGATTAAATCCTGCTGCGTGCGCAAGCGCTCCTCTCATCTCCACTGCAGCAGTGCCAACAGGTCCGTTTGTCAGAGAAGGTGTACTAGCGTTGATGCTTCATCGAGTTGCATAGATCAGCTGCTGTTGTGTTGTCCATAAATAGACACAAGTGACAGAATCGTGACACCAGCATGCATGTAACGCAGAGTTTACACAACAGCTAAATGCAGGTGAAAGGAGCACTTCAGACTGAACCTTTCATAATTTGTAGTCCAGGTGCGGGATGTCTTGTGGTTTTTCCACGTTTCTCACTAATAGCTTCATTTCTTTGGCAACTAAAACAGACCAGGTTAATCCCTCCCTGGTTGCCTGGATACAGCCAATTAGCAATATTTGCTGGAGGGGCAGACAGGTTTGATGATCCACTGTGTAAACGGAAGCAAGCAGACACAGACATGCAGTCAGTCAAGCAAAAAATAAATGGCACCAGAAAGCAACAAAAATGTAGATGTATATAGGCTATTTAAAATGTAGAGGTTTCTATATGGGATTCAGTGACATTTAAAGATCAAGTAGCCTACAATAAGTGTGTGTTATTCCTAAAATTATGTAGGATAGGCTACATAAAGGCTTTGAGCATACAGACTAATGAAATAAATAGGTCTACATTTTCATTGCCTCACACTTCCAAATATTCTAAATACAACAACCACCCAACCAGTCTCTCTATACAACTCATTTTATAACCTGCTACATTTTGACATGTATGTATTTATACCTATTGTATTCCCTTCTTTTTATTCAGTTACTGTCTTTCTTGTTAAATTTGTTGTTACGTTTATATTGTACATGTATAGGCTGTATATGTCAGAATTTTGTTGCTGGAAACAAAGACAACAACTCTTCTGATCCTACTTACAGTGTTTGTATTGGTTGAACCCATTATAGAGGGAATTGCTTAATTTACGATTACAAATAAAACATTTTGTAACAGTATTGCACAACTATTAAAAGCTAGAACGTCCTATGACCTGCTTTCAAAATCGTGTATTTAAAAAGTAAAGAAGTCATACTAGTTCAGTGCTAAATTAACCTCCAAACTAGTATTAAAGTGTTTTGTCTGTCTGGTTTACAACTGACGTGTTCATCAAAAATATTGATATGTCCTTACAAGAAAGAAAATAAGAAGCAGCCTCTTTCTGAACTTTCTCCCAGAGGTGACAAGATATTCATCTCAGTTTACTGCTTATTTATGTGCTGTCAGACGTCTGTAAACTATGTTATTTCTAATGTTATTTGCTTACATTTTCTGCAGTAATACCATAAAAAAGGGTTCTTCACTGGTCCGTTTGATAGAAAATCTGTATCAATCACCTCCAAGCCCAAACAATTCAACTCTTTACATACATTTGTTCACATTTTCAGCAAAGCTGTCAACAGTAAGGAACAAGTAGTTTCAGTTTTTCATTTTCAGTAATTAACCTCATCACTTTATCAGCATGATAACACGAATGACATGAAACAGCTGTTTTGTTCTCCAGAAGGAAGAAACAGAAGTAACAGTCACAAGATGGTGAGTCTTATTTGTGATGCTGAATTGATAAAGACCAAAGGAAGTATGCACATCATTAATACCACACAGGCTACACAAGTACTGCAAAAGTATTTAAGTATAATTAGAATATGTACTTTAAGTATTAAAAGTCCTATACTTCTGTTTTATATTATATCATATAGATTTATAGTTTATTGTTACTCATACATTAATGTAAAAGCAGGATTTTACTGTTGCAGCTGTAGGGATGGAGCTCATCTCACTATTTTGTATAGGACAGGAACTAATGATTATTTTTATTATGGATTATTCTTAAAATAATTATAAGCAACACATCCTCACATTTGTGATGGTTTCGTTGTTTAGCTGGAACCACGAAATGTTTTAACATAAAATGATTATTATCAATTATCAGAATAGTTGCCACCACATTTTCTGTCAATCAAATTGACTAATGATTTCAGCTGTACTTTTATACTGTTGGGAAGGTCAGTTTATAACAAAATATCATATTTTATAAGCTCTTTTCTTTGTGTATGCACAAATCTCAATTTGTAAACTAACTAGTAACTACAGTTATCAAGTAAATGTTAAAAAATACAATATTTCTTTCTGAAATGTGAGTCAATGAGTAGAAAGTGACATTAAAAGAAAAGAGTGAAGCAGGAAGTATAAGTATCTCTAATTTGTACTTAAGTAAATGTACTTAATTACATTCCACCACTGCTGGCCAAGTAAGACAGGTCAAAGTTTAAACTTGTGCCTTGTGTCAGTCAAGTGTCAGTTTGGCTTTCCCAATAGTCATGTGCATGATTTAGAGTCAGCAACGCAAATGCATTTAGGGAAGCAAGAAAAGCTGTTAATTGAAATTCTAACTTGTTTTTGTGATGACTTTGCACACAGTATTCAGCAGTAGGTGGGACTCAGTGAATTGTTTAAGACAGCCTGTCTAATGAGGGTAATATGGATTCTATAACATCTGTTTTCTGGGCACAAAGAGTGTCAACTGAATGTGTTAACGGCTGCACTTGCAAACTGAGCAGACCATTTTAAAGGAGGTTATTTGGGTTTTCTTCACTGACTATTGACGTACAACATAGAAAGTTAAACTTTGAAAATCAACACTAAGACTTTGGATCATCATCATCATATTATTACATTTACCACAGAGATTTGTTACAGTGTTTACTGGACCATGCTTGCCTCCAGTCAACAGTTTTGTTATCAGTTGGATATGTGTTTTCAATTACACCAAGTTTGTAAGAGTCACCAACCTTTCCCACCCACCTTTTACCCTTCTAAAATATTCAGGACAGAGTTAGCATGTTCTATTGGTGCCCTTTAAATTACATCATTTATTTAGTTAAGGTCAGAGCAAAGAGAAAGCATCTTAAATCTCTGTCAGCACATGCTAAGTTCAACACCGCCAGAACTGCTGAGAAAACAAAAGGACCATAATTCAAGTTGCAGGTGCAGATGATGTTACTGTGCTTGGATCAGCCATTTCTTATCTGAAAACACTGAAGCAGAAACTTATGTTTTCATAAAAGCTGGTGATGACCAGGTTCCTGTGGGGCCTTTTGAATTGTCCACTAGAGCTCAGTTATAGGAGATTTTTGTCCCCCGTTTAAAAAAATATAGTTTACACTGTTATTATCCCATAATTCCTACTTCTGCCGAATAGGGGAGTATTTGTTGTGGTATAATACATTAAATATATGGTAACACTGACAGTTGTATTCTCCTTACAGCTCAGGGTGTAAGTGCAAATGGAAAAGAGAACTACAGCGATACTTTCCTCTTTAATAGTGTTTGCCAGCAACTGCGTGACTGTAATCACCTCGGCTAAGGACAGGATGAATTATTGGACCGCCTTGAAGGGTAAAAACAAGATACATTAGTGAGTTGTTTGTCTTGAGTGAGCTCTGTGCAAAGGTTACAGCAATCACACACCCACTGAAGTCATGGGATATGGGTTGAATCAGAAATGTTTTTTAGAGAGATTTGCCCACAAGGTCCAATTACAAATGTCCCTGTTGGACAAACAAGTTCAAAATGTTCCAAACGTTTAGTACTTAAACTTTAATATTTCCATTTCATACTACTTAATACTTCTACTCCACGATTACTGGAAAAACATTTTTTACTACACCTGAGAGCTTAGGGAATATGCTTTGCAGATTTAACATTTTACATAAGAAGCATACGACCAACCAATAAAATGTGAAGCATTGTAGCAGATTAAACTACATCGACGCATTAGTAATATTGATCAAACGCACTGGGTAAAGGGGTTGTTCTGCATAATGAGAGCCTACTATCACTTATGATACAGGAGAACATTTACATCATGTTAGATCGTTTTTCACAGCAGCCATTTTGACATAAACGTTATAAATGATACTACTTAATTTCAAATGGCTGCTGTGAATAACCTCTATACACATTGATTCTAAGTTAGTTATAATACTGGTCCGGTATTTGTCCACTGGTTTATCTTAATACTTTTATAACTAATAACATTAATGATGGCTTTGTGAAGGGACCCAGCATGCACAATACAGATCCTGAAACCGCTGCAGTTTCATCATTGAGCCATAACTAATATATTGTTACATATGCGAGTTTGCTTTATTTAGATGGCAAAGATACACCACTTCCAGAAAACTGTTTTTAAATCACTCCATCCATAACAGCACTTGGGCTTGGCACTTTGAAAGCAAACAGCAAAAAAAACACAAGAACTTCCCCAAATGTTTTTTTAAACCAAAACCTTTAATCAGAGTATAAACAAAAACAGGTGACAAAAGTTGAGGAATTAAGAACAAAGAGTCCAGAATATCCCAGAGAAAAAGCCTGTCATCCAGCAGGTCTTGAATCAGCTCTCCAGCATCAATCGGCTGTCGCCTCAGGTGGATATGGGCGCCACTGGCCTCAGACTTGACACCGGGAGGGGTCCTGGGTCTCCAGCTGAGCTCACCGGTCTGGTTGTTGGCAACACGTGCTGACACAGCCATGGCGGAGAGGACAGTTTACTTGGACCTCTGCCTCATCTTTCTCCTTTTGCGCTTCAGCCTAGAAACGTGATCATAACAAGAGTCAGTCAGCCGAAAGTCCTTCAACACGATGCAAGAGGTGGACCGGATACTGCTGACTGAACAACATGCGCTACACAATCTTACCTGCGCATGCGCTTCTTTCTCCACTGCGGAAAAGGAAAGACAACGTTAAATACTTTCTCGTTTATTTAATGCAATTCTGAAAACACTCAAACATACTCAACTGAACTAAAATAGACATACAGATGGCAAAACACGTATTTTACAGCTAAATCCTAACGGACGTGTTTGTGCTACCCTGTCGACCTGCTTGCTAACCAGCTAGCAAACGTTAGCACAACTGGACACTGATTAATTGACCATAGTGACATAAAAACACCAACCTTAGCTCTCATATCGACGAGGGGAGGCTGAAAACAGAAGGGAAAACATGAAAGATTAGTTGGATTGATTCAGAAAGAAGACGATTAACTTGGATTGTGATACCGACAGCGCTCACGTACCGACAGCTAAGGACTCGTCTCCACGAAGGACGTCACATTCCAGCGACGTTGGATTTATAGGGGTTGTATACGTCACTTTGATTGGACCGTAGTAGAACATGGGAAATTGAGTTTTCATGAAGCTAAAGCTAATTCCCGGTGATGTATTGTGGCATTGCTGCAGCTTTGTAGGCGCTTTTAATGTTCATTGTTCCACTTATTTATATGATTTGTTCAGACCATCGACAGTATACATATAAACACACATATATATAAATATATATAAACACACATATATATAAATATATATAAATATATACACATATATAAATATATATAAACACACATATATATAAATATATACACATATATAAATATATATAAACACACATAAATATAAATATATATAAATATATACACATATATAAATATATATAAACACACATATATATAAATATATATAAATATATACATATATATAAATATATATAAATATATAATAATATATATAAATTCATATATATATATATATTTATATGTGTATAAATGTATAAATACACATATATATAAATACACATATATATATAAATATATATAAATACATATATAAATACATATGTATTTATATATATGTGTATTTATTTATAAATACACATATGTATAAATATATATATACACATATATAAATATATAAATACACATATATATATATGTGTATTTATATATATATATAAATACACATATATAAATACACATATATACACACATATATATATAAATATATATAAATACACATATATAAATACATATGTATTTATATAAGTGTATTTATATATAAATACACATATGTATAAATATATATATAAATACATATATATAGATACACATATATACATATATATAAATACATATATATACATATATATATATATATATCTCACAGACCGTTGCAATGTACACACATGCAGCAGATCTTACTGGTCTAAATTATTATATTCTAGTAGTCATTTTACCACGTAAATTGTATACATGTGCTTGGTGTTACATATTCTCTTTACCTATGGGCCTAGCTACCATTAATTAGTCATGTATGTCAGTATTTGTATACATTTTGTGTGTGAATTTGGGTTTTTAACCGGTGAGTAACTTTAGTATTTTTTTTAAATGTATTTTCCAGTATTTTTAGACTCGGCAGGGTTAAACATTATTCATTTTAGGCTAACAATAAATTAAATATGTTGATGCTTCAGCATTTGTCTCCAAAAAGTATATTCCTGGCAGTAGAGGCTTTGGCACTGCATGTAAACCTTAGTTTCTCTCTATAAAATATTGTTTATACATGTAAAAGTACTTTTAAATGTTTGGTTTCTAAGGGTGACGTGGGGGCATGGCCACAGTATTTCTAAAATCCAGAGTACAGCCCTTTCTGTAACAGACAATTCTGTGTTTGTTAAACATGAATTGATGTTTCTTTAAAGATGGTCATTCATCTGTCTGTGTCCTCTCACAAGTTCTTCATTTGGCTTTAGATAAATGTGATGCAAAATAACTCGAGAAAGGTTATGCATTAATGTTCAAAATCATGAAAAACACACTTCCACTTATTGGGCATTCACACAGTCCAAAAACACAACACAACAAATGATGTCAGGTGGCTTTTTAATGTTTCCAAAAATAGTCTCTGAAACTGGGATTTGTTTTACAAAAGCATCCATATATCTAACAGGTATGGACTTCTTATGTAAACACAGACTGTCAGACTCAGTGGTGGCACCAGAAGACTGAATGCTGAACCCTTGGCAGGAGTTAGACCATCCACAACTGAGAAATAAGGAAGTATTTTTCGAATAGCTAAATTACTCAACCGGTAGCTCTTACAATGTCAGTTTTAGAAATTGTTAGCTGAGTAACCTACAGTAGATGCCTAGAAGTATACACAATGTACTAATAGACAGACCTAAGCCAGAGCAGTATAAATGCAGTAATTATGCTTAATTCAACAGTAATGATGAGTAATGATGTCATGCTGTAACTTGTGTTAATGCCATGTGACATCAGGGTTCAAGACAGGTGTTACACATTTCAGCCCACGACAAGTTAACACTCATTTAAAAAAAAAAAAAAGGCATGGCTATAAGGTTTATGACCTCAAGGAAGTTATCTAAATTCCACACAATTACACTGACACAGTATTGTGCATTCATCATCCTTGGCCGCTCTGTCAAAGTCAATTTATTTTCAATATCTTTCACTACAGTTATTGTGGAGAAAGGGATGAAGGCTCAAGGTCAGTCCAATGGTTAAATGTTCCAGTGAGTATTTACCCTTGCACAAAATATTCTCTTGGACAGCAGAATTGTGTCCACTAAGAGAAGAAGGCTGTCTCAAGGACAGTGAGATTTAATAGGGACGTACGTTTGTGTGTATGTGTGTGTTTTAGTTGGAGTGACAGAATTTAGGAGCAGCATCATCCCAGACTGACATCAGTTAGATTCAGAGGTATTCACAGCGGCTATGCCCGCAAGTGCCTCAGACAGCTGGGACAGAAGGATTTGTGACGTCTGTTCTTTGGGTCATCAGATGTCTGTCAGAATTTCTTGTACAGAGAAATTTATTCTGCAGCTTCAGTCTCCATTGCCTGTCCTGTAGCGCTCTCCACAGTCTTTGAGGCCTTTAAAAAAAAAAAGAAGAAAAGATTGAGGACGCTTTTGGCACCTGTGTTCTTGTTTTATTTCATGAATCACACCATCCTGTAACTCACCTTCTTTTTCTTCTTCTTCTGAGTCTTACGGCTGGCTGAGCTTTGAAGCAAAGCCTTTATATGAAAGGAAAAAGTAGACAAACGGGACTTTTAACCTCAGGTGGTGCAGCACACAATACATCAACACATGACGGCACATGAGAACGCTAAGTCAGCTAATAGCATGCTATAGCAGTCCCATTAGTCTATATGCAATATCCCATTCATCAAACAACATATTTTACCTTCAGCTCTGGGTCCTCCACTTCATGCTCAGACTTGTAGAGTTCTGGATCAATGAGACTGTTTGTGATTCGCAGAGGTCCATTGGCCATGAGCAGCACGGTGAACTTGAACTGGGCAACAAATTCACCTGGACAAAGATGAGATTGAAAGTTACATTAAAACAGTCCCACTTGGTAGACAATCTGGCCATCAAATGTTTCAGTTAGCAAGGTCAAAGCAGCGTCTAGTTTTAACAATATATACAGAAGTTTTAATGCTCATGACACCCCAACCCTGCACCACAATTTAGAATACTAGTAATACAGGACTACAACCCTGGAAAGTTTTTTCTGGCTACAATTATAAAGTAAGCAATGAGTAATGTACACTTCGACATATTTCACTAGCCCATGTAGTTTGGTCTTAAATGACGCAGCAGTCACTGGAATTAAAAAGGAACAAGGAGGCTGCATATTTTTGACACAGTGAACATGCCAGCCTGAACATGGTCTTAGTTTCCCAGGGTGAAAAAAAAAAAAGCACTTGATTACATTACTTACCATGGAACAGAGAGAAAACTGTCTTGGTACATGATCAGTAAATGACCAAATTCAATTTACTGGACAAAACAAATGTGTGATGGAACTAGAGCTGCAATGCTGAATATCTTTAGGACTGTTGGACTGTTGGTCGGACAAAATAAGACATCTGAAGAAGTCACCTTGGGCAGTCTACTGTCACCTTGAGGTATGTCTACTGTTTAATAAAATGTACATCTTCTGTTTTGTCGTCACGGCCACAGGTTGTCATTTGTCATTTTTGATTGCTTTTTAGTCTCAAGGGGGAAGAGAGAGTGAGACGCTGCTGGAAACAATTATTTTGTGGTGATAGGCACTGAATGTTAACGCTCATCTATAAAGTACTTTGGTTTAGTTTCTGTCTGCGTGTATCTGTTAACAATGGTATGCTGGGCTTGGTTGATTTCAGTTAGTTTAGGTTAACACGACAGCTTCAAGCAGATGTGAGGAATTTTCATGGCCACCAAAGCTGTTAATTACATCCCTCATTGTTCCACTCACCCTCTTTCTCATGCAGCACATTGAATGGCTGCAGCAGCTCATGTTTGGCACACTCCACCACACCCAACCTGGCCTTGCCTTCATCCTCAAATGCTCTGAGGAGACAAAGAACAAAATAAATATGAGGAAGTAAAACCTGGGAGATGATTTTATTGAAGACAAAATGAATGAGTGCATGAAATATTTGATGTGAAGTTAAAGATGCTACCTTAGAGTGAAAGGCATCGTATCAAAGCGTCTCTCCATCTCACTGAAGAATGTCCGAGATGTCTTCATCTTTAAGCCGTACACCTTGTTGGGGTCTCGTTTGTAAACGGTGGTCCTCTGACCTCCATCTTTTGCCTGAATTACAACACAAAACATATTAGAAATGCATTTCCTTTTCAAAATGGATCAGAAAATCCAATTTATACGAAATTTCCTCTCACCTTCCCCTCTCCAGTGCTGATAAGCACATCCACTGCATATACCTCATGCACTTCAAACTCAGCCTTCTCATGGTCCTTTCTACAGAAAGTGACAAAATCATACACCGGTTAAACATTAATCAGGTCAGGGACAGGAAGCACTTGCTGAGTAAACTCACTTTTGCTGGTCCGTTGGGTTTTGGATGATAGTTTTCTCCCCATCAATCACATGTTGTTTGAGCTGATGGGACAGCATGCCTGTACACAATGTAGGAATAAACTGAGTCAAACATGACAAATGACATTTAGTAAATGTACACCACTGGTAATCACAGAGCTTGAAGGTGCCAAATGTTCACAAACACTCACCCTCGATAGGGGAGCACTTGAATGACTTTGCAATCTTGTTCCAGGCTTCTGTGACCTGTGTGTTCTGAAGCAAGAGACATAATAATGTTTATTAGATGAGGTGTGAACACTGATGCGGTTGGTCAAACCAGTGGTCACGGTGGGAGAGTTCTACCTGGTTTCCTGGCTTAACAAGACGCAGAGCAGCCTCAGCACAGAGGTGAGCTGCTTTGATAACATCAGCCTTCCGCCCTGTCACCGGGTTGTCCTAAAGTGACAGAGGAGAAGGATT